TATCTGTTTTCACCTAGGCCAATATGAGAAGGATGAAAGTTATTATACTCAATACACAAGTTTGGAGATTGTAGCTCTTCAACAAGAGAAACACAAAAAGAAGCCATATCCGCATGAAAGTGGCAGAGATTGTTGATAAAGTATACACAATCATGATTAAATAAATGTCAAAATGATGGCTTAATTAGGGCCTTTTAAAATGTAATTAATATTAAAGAAAGATTATACATGCATATTATGTCAAGCAATGATGATTTTGGTGATCATATTGAGCTATACTTTAGTAATACAGGTTTTTGGATGCTTGAGTCTCTGATTGACAATATATATGTAGTTTTTGGAGACCAGGTCTTCCAATAATCTGTCAGAATTCCCATGGGTACTAATTGCAACCTGTTGTTAGGCTAGCAGACCTCTTTTTATATTCATATGAAGCAGAATTTATTTAAAATCTTGCACATGAGAAGAAGAAAACACTTGCTGTGGTCTTGAACTCGACAGTGAGATATATCGATGATATATTATCAATTAACAATAGTTATTTCCATTCATATGTCAACTATATATATTATACCCCAGTGAGCTTGAAATAAAAGATACCACAGAGTCTGACACATCTGTTTCATGTTTGGATATTATTTATTTCCATCCCTAATTAAAATTTTATAAATTGATTATGTACATGTAATATTAAATGCATGTTTCTTGGAAAGTAATGTTTTAAGTGTTTCCTTACTACTATTAAGGATTTTCATGGTATATCAGATTCTTGTTTATTATCCTTTTCTAAGTGTTACTTTTCTCTAAGCAGTAAACAGGCAGTTGTATCACTAATGATAGGTGGAGACACATATCAAGTTACCTACAGTTACAGCCAAGGTTTAATGAAGAATCATCTGGAGTCTGGCAGTGAGAGTGACAGTCGGCAGTGGATACTCACTCCTCTAAGGCACCTGATCCCACCTCGGATGTTTTTGAGGTAGAGGTTGCACTGCTCAAATCATAATTTGAATGGACTCTTTCACGGAGGTAGGAAACGTCTATTGGATGGGGGCAGTGTACTATTGAATGCAATGCATGATTGATCATTGTGGAATTTATAAGGACTGATAAGAAAGAAATCCTAGAGAAATATCTTGCTAAACATGCGCTGAACCAGCCTAATAAATTTTTGAGAGGAGCTAATCCTGTATGTTGCATTTTTTACGATACTTTTTACTAAGTGGACTTTTCTTATTAAATTCTAAATGAAAATCGTTACTTTTGAAAGTTGATAAAATACTCTAAACTTTCATTACTTGACAAATCTACTATTTGGAGTTCAATTCTTGGCAATACATTGTAGTTTCGGCATAATGATTGTTCGAATCATTCCATTGTCACCACTGTAATGTTATGCCCCAGAAATCTTGTGAGATTTAGAGCTTCCTCGACTCCCATGCTAATTAAAGAGCGGTTGTAAGTTAGATAATTGCGAGATACTCACAATACTACGTACGTATTGCAAAATACTGGTACTTTTAATTCAATTCACATGTGCTCACCTTTAAAATGCATTCACAATTCTTTATAAAGTTGGTGACATTACGTATGAAAATATAAAGTCTAGTTACATGTTTAAAGTATGCTTGTGGTACATGTATGCATTTTTTTTTCTTGAACAGTAAAGGAAGGGATGAGAGAGTTCATTGAGTGCCATAAACTTTCATTTGTATGTTATTTTTTAGAGATGGAGTAGTACACAAGCACAATTTTTTTAAAGAAAGAAAAGTCAATGGAATGAAAGCCAAAGAAAAGGTGAAGTGAATTGTCACTCATTATATTTTAAATTTAATGTGGACATGGTCATTATTTTAGTTATGTCATAACCTTCTTATCAATTTTAAGCAGTGCAGACAGATGCATTTCTTATTGCTTTGAATAGAATAAATTATCAAAAAAGTTTGTATATGTTTTTTGATATAGAATTTATATTAAAAAAAATTATCAATTACTGCAGTTTTGAATTTCAGTACACTAGAAATTTTTCTGCCCTGCCATGAATATGGCTGGGGCATATAGAGTTTGTCATGTCCGTCTTCTGTCCTTTCAACCTTCTGTCTGTCCTTCCATTCCGCTTTGCTTTTAGCTCAGTTCAAAACTAAGTTTCAAAGAAACTATTCAAGATATTTTTATCAATCTTCATATGCTGATACATACTGATGAGAGCTATTCAACTGCATCAACATTTTTTGATCTTGATTTTTCCTTTGACCTTCACCTCACTTTTTCTAAATTAGTGTCAGACTTCATATACTGATACAGACTGATGTAAGGTATTTGACTGTATCAACATTTTTGACCTTGACATTTCATTTGACCTTGACTTCATTTTTTTTGAAATGGTGATTAGCTCAGTGTTAAATAAACGGTTTCCATTCAAAATATTTTTATCAAACTTATTTTGCTTATGCGTATTAGTGAGAACTATTCAACTGCATCAAAAATGTATGACCTTGAACTTTCCTGTGACCTGGACCTCACTTTTCTTAAATTTGCATTTTGCTTAGTTTTAAAGAAACCATTAAATATAATTTTATGTGAGCTTATGCACTTAACAGAATTTGGTGGGAATTTATCATCTATATCCAACTTTTTCGATTTCAATGTTAAAGAAACTATTTTAAGATATTCTCATCAAATTTCATACACTAAAAATATTTTTATGTTGCATTACTAATATGCCCACATGGTGCAGTGGTTAAAGCTCTAGAGTTGCGGAGTAAGGAGTTGATCCTTATGTCGCTGGTTCGAATCCCACTGTGGGACGTGGAGACCGTATAAACCGAGGTCCCATGTCACAGTAGGTGCTGGCATAAAAAGATCCCTCACTGCTTAATGGCCCTTAGTGCCGAGTATAGGTCAAAATTTGCAGCTCTCCACCGGCAAGTGGTGGCGTCTCCATATGAGTGAAAAATTCTCGAGAGGGATGTTAAACAATAAACAAGCAAATAAAAATTAATATACCCTCAGCGGGGCATTCATGTCCTATGGACATATTTCTAGTTTTGCCCTCTTTTACATTTGTACATGGATATACTTTTTATTTTTGCTCTGTAAACAACAACAACAAAAACATTATACCATATAATATGCACAAGATTATATGCTAGGAATGTATTGTGAAAGATGCATTTCAGCTGACAAATGTAGCATCTTTAAGCCAGCTTTTTAAAAATTTTTCTGAATGACTTTCAGGTACTTCTTTTATATTTGCAACTCATTTATAGGGATGTATTAGTATGGTAGCCTGTCTGCCAACACCTTGTAGATGAGACTCTAGCACATATTGTGTGAAATGGTTCTCTTAATTGACATGAGAAGGTCACTATTTTTTTTATTCGAGATAAAAATTACTTGTATGTCTTGTAATAACATTATTTAATATATCCCTTTCATAGCACACATGTTTGTTTCAAAGAGAAGAAAACATTTATAATTTTTCAAGGTCAATAATCTCATGGATGAAATGCAAACTGTACTATTTGAAATAGGTGGTATAGGTATTTCAGAGTCTGTATTACATCTTGCCAGTTTATTGTTCGAGGGAATATTCTCATCAAATAAACTATGTAAAGATTTGCTTTTTAATGCAAAGTATTTTTATAAGTAATAACTTCATTTCAACTTACAATGAACAGTTAATCAATGGATCTCACTTTGTATCTAATGCATTTTTAGAACACAAATTTGTGGTTTAAAACATGTTGTAATAGTTTAATAATGCTATTCATTTTTTTTAATTGACAAGAAATGAAAATGTAATGATTATTTCAAAATAGTGTTTTATTCCTCTTATGTATATTTATAGATATGTAAAAGATTGTTATTTTTATTGATGTTATTTTTGTGTACAAAATACTAGTTATTTATTACTTTATACAAAACTAATGTTGTGAAGATTGATAATAATAGAAGTCCTTATGCATATATTGAACAGTATACAAATGTCACCAATGTAATACACATTTACAAATAAAATGAAATTTTACATGACTTGCACATATTTGCATTATTTGTTACAGTTATAACAAATCTAATTCATTGTATTTATTGTTTCCAATTTTTATTGTCTATTCAAACATGGAAAAATTATATGTGTAATGATGTTAAAGACACAAGAATATGAATTAAAATAAGACTGTATGAACTACCTTTAGATTTATGAATTCAGTAGACAGTGACTGTGACAAATGTGTATTTAGGATAGAGATCTTAGACATGAGAAGAAAAGGGGTTGTTTTACAAACTTTTTTTTGCATGGGGAAATATTGACATTTTTATACAACAACAAATGAAGTTACTGGAATTGTGAAGTCTACGTGTCTTCTGTGAGTAGACATCTTTTGAAACAAAGGTAGCTTGGGGCCAGAAATATTCTAGACCCAGTAGTAAAGGTCTTTTGCACAAGGTCATAGTCACTGTATATCAAAGTATTAAATACTTACCAATAATTGTTTGTAACCTCAGAGTATGATCCTAACACAGGTTAATACAGGTCAAGGCCATAGGGTTTAGAAATGTAATAAATATTCAGATAAACACATAATTCTGTTTGTTTATTTGTTTGTTATACATCCTTTAAGAATTTTTCACTAGTATTGAGACACCACAACTTGCTGGTTGAGGGCTGCAAATATAGACCTGTACTTTTGAGCAGTGAGAGGTCTTTTCTTGTCCCAGCATATACTGCAACAAGGGAATTTGGTTTCATTGGAAGAACTGGTTTCCATGTCCTTCATTGGGATTTGTACCTATGACTTAAGGAACAAGTCCTTACTCCACTACTCTAGAGCAAATGCTCTGACCACTGCGCCAAGCGGGCAATCACATTATTGTTATACTCGATGTAAATCAAGGCGAAGGGATAATTGTGACTTGGGGATGTATAACAACCCTGCATCAAGTTCAATTTTTGACCACTATAAAATAACTTCCAAAGATTATATTATCCTAGGGTTCATTATGCTCAGAGTATATGACATAAATTGGATATATAAAATTCTAAAATACAATTATTTTTTTTTTTTAGAAAAGTACAAGGTTATAGTTTCAAGAGGTCATATCTAGCATGTACAGGTGATTGTGGCTTAGATGATGATTCTATACCATAAGTCGTCATGTGACTACGACGTTTTAAATCAATGTGTTTCTTTGGTGGTGGATGAAATATTTTCTTAACAATTACTATCGGTCATTTCCTATATTTCCATAAGATTCAGGACATGAAAATTTGTCTACGAATAGACATCACCCTATTAGTTCCTTCTAGTTAAAATAAGGAATCATCATACTGGGTTTTAAAGTGCCTAATATTTTACTTAAGATAAATGCAAATTGACCAATAAATACTGGTATGAGAAGTACATTTATGCATGTGTAGTTTTTTATTTAAATAATTAGAAAAAAGAAAATGGTCTACATAATCACGTATATATATATATTCTGGTCTCCTTTATGCATTATATATACTTGGTCTACTTTAACCCTTCGGGATCCTCATAAAATATATACATGTCTACCTTAAACCTCCAATGTATTTACAAAATATTAAGGAGACCAGAAATGTCGTATATTTTTCAGGAAGCAACATTTAGGGCTGAGGGGGTAAAATTTTCATTATTGAAGCCTATTAGAATAAATTTGGGTGAAAGTGTGAATCAGAATGTCTCAAATAAAAGAAATGAAAAATGTCTACTTAATGCCTCAAAATAAGTGCGGTCTACTTTATGCCAAAGTCCACCTTATATATATATATATATATATATATATATATATATATATATATATATATATATATATATATATATATATATATATATATATCGCATGCCTAAAAATTGTTTTCTTCACAGTGTTAAATGAGGTAAGATATTTATTTCAAGTAAGCTTTCTCTTTTCATTCTCAAATACCATTGCAATTTGTTTGTCTTTAAAAGTCATATTCAGTCGTCTCGTGAAAAAAAGGAGTTAATGTAAATAAAATGTAAGTATTTCTTGATTTGATAGTCTTTACACGACACGCAATTTACGTTCACTGCTTATGCATAATTTGTAGATAAACAAGTCATGCTTTGGAAGCCCCTCCTAGTTGTTTTGGTGATCTTCGTAATAAAAGAAGGTACGTAAAAAATTATGAGTTTTTAGTGATACCCATTCATTGATAAAACCATAAACAATGAAGGCCAAAATATTCTTCAAAGATATTTTAAACTATTTTAATTGAGGAGACTTTAATATTTACTTTGTTTATTATAAAAATGTTTTTATATAATGACTAGTGAATGATCGGAATATTTCATTTTGAATGTTGTATTTACTGGGAAACTATATGTTTATTAAAATTACAATTATAGACGTTAGTTTTACGGGTCCGTCAAATTCTGATTCCTCTTATTGTTGAACCCAGATTCATAAAACCTCCAATAAGCCAACACGCGTTATAGTTTTGGTACTTTTATATAGAATCAGCATGGAATAAACTTTTACATGAGTTTGGGAACTATCAGCACCAAGGTCTGATTCCAACTGACTATAATTTTTAACAACAAAACATACATACTGAACAAAGAGTAAAATAAAACGATTAACAAAAAGTATAAAGAAATCAAGTATCAAACAATTATTGAGAGAATGGTGACATTTTAGCGGCATGTATATAATAGAATAAAAGTAGATGAAAGATTAACTGTCAATAAATATAAATAGAAGTCAATTAGGAGATTAACTGTCCATCTCTGACTGTGCCTCAGGTAGGATTAGGGCTGTGCGGAATTTATAGAATTTGTCACATTTGCCGAAATATACGAAAAGTTTATATAACAATTTATGCAAAGTCCGAAAAGTTAATTAACACACTAATATACATAAGTCCGAAAAGTCGTATTTTACACCGTAACACATGCTCCGCCTTCGCGTAAAACACGTCCTCGTGTTTTGATTTTTTTTTTCAATAAAATTGGCCTCTTCTTGGTCTTCCCTGATGTCTACGTGGTTGAAATTGTCGTTTGTTTTCCACAAACACGGCGAGCAGATGATCCCTTTCATATTCCAATATTCGGATGGTCTGTAGCAGGGCATTGTTTTTTTTCCCTTAACTGTTTGGTTGTTTTCTCAGCTTCTGTCTGAATTTGCATTACATACTGATTATGTTCCTTTCCGATCTCGTTTAATTTCCTCTGCATCAAGTCCATAATCACTCTATCACCGTGGGCGTCGTCTTCCAGTTTGCGAATTTTCTCACGATAGATGTTATCTTTGGAATTTTACACCGTAACATTTATGTTTTTACGATTTTTTTTTTTTTTTTTTTTTTTTTTTTTTTTTTTTTTTTTTTTTTGTTTACTTATATTATCGACAAACCCCTAACTCCGTCACTATGGGAAACTCCGTGCTGTTTGTAAAAGAATGCGATTGTGACGTCATTTTTGCAGCTGAAAATATACAATCAAATGCCGAGAAATTGTGACAGTCAAGTTCAAGAATGCGTCCAAATTAAACAAGCATTCCGAGAGTATTGCATTAGCAATACTAGCCCCCTACCGGCAAGTGTAATCTGGTTCCCGTTAAGAATTGAAAATGCCATAATTCCGCCAAAAATTTATTAAGCGGAACGAAATGCAAACTTGATCTATAACTAATCAAGGTAAAGTCACATACCAAAAATCAGCTCGATATCTGAAAGCCTTTAGAAAAAAAAATTGCGAAAAACCCTTAAAAATTGAAAAGGCCGTAATTCCGTCAAAAATCAATGAAGCGGAACGAATTGCGAACTTGATCTGTAACTCATCAAGATACACTCACATACCAAAAATCATCTGAATATCTGCAAGCGTTTAGGAAAAAAGTGCGGAAAACGAAGTGGGACAGACTGACAGACAGATAGACGGAAGGACGGACAGACAGACAGCTAGACGGACGGACGGACAGACGGACGGACAGACTCAGAGGAAACCTATAGTCCCCTCCGCTCTCACCGTAGGGGACTAATAACAAGTACACCGAATCTATTACGTGAAATCCGTAAGCACCTTTTTTATGCGCTATTCCTTCGATATCTCCGACATATGCGTCAACATGCTCATTTTTACATGTCAGCCATATTTATGAAGGATGAACATGACATACCATATTGAATCCGGATGAAAATATCTTATTTGTCGTCTCTATTTCCCCTACTCCAGAACGCATTGGAGATAAAGTTAGCGTGACGTTATTACATATAAAATATGTTATAATAATTTAATTTTGTTTGTATTCTAGCCTCTGATTGGTTAATATCCAAAAAGGAACACAAATTATTTCTGTATAACCTGGTTTGGTATGGGGACACACACCCCTGACAACCAGCTGAATCATCTGTATCCATACAATCCTCTCATTTCCAGTCCTCGGGATTCATGGAAAATTCCAGATTCAATAAATGTACCTTTAACTTCAAACAATAGTTCGAGCCTACCACATGTAAATAAACAACAAGGCTGCTAGGCCTATGTATCAGTTTTTACCTCCCCTCGCTTCCCATCACTTCCGTTACTTCTGTTACTACGGTTGTATTATTGAGCGGCAAATTTGAACTAATAAAAAGCAACGAAATTTTACACCCATAGTTATGTAATGATTTTAAAATTAAATTATAAGGAATGACTCTAATTCTTGGCCAAATTATTCGAGTATGACCTGGTTTGGGTCAGTTTACGCTGTTTTATAGGGTGAATTCACCATGCATCGGACACCCTTGCACTTCAACAAGTTCTAGCGATATCGCTACCGACCGAATATTATCAAAATGGAACTTAACATATAGTATGTGGATAAAATATGAATTTTTGACACAATCGTGCCCTATTTATTAAGAAAATATCATTAAAACCGATTTTTTCGAAATTAGTCAGAATTCACCATGGATCGGACAATATCCACCATGCATCGGACATACGATATTTAAACCAGAAAAATATTATTAATACCTTTATCTCGGTGCTTTAAATTTAGTGATATCGAATCATTTTTATCTTTTATTTAAAAATTAACCTTCTAATTAAATTTGAATGACTATTTCGATCCACAAATGTGAAGAGATTTTAGTTGCATCACATCGCCTGAGAAAAGCTTTACAATGCTAGTAATATGGCAACTCGCGCCTTTGTCTCGTGGGTTATCATCATCAAGTTTAAAGAAATAAATTGAGTCCACTTCTAGTCGTCATATATCGATAATTTGTATTTTCACTGAACATTTAGAGTTTCTATTTTCTATTTCCGTAAATAGCAGCTGGCATTTGGGTTTTACATGAAAATGGAAGTGATTACCCATGCATCGGAAAGTGTCCGATGCATGGTTAATTTGTGTCCGATGTACGGTGAAATAAACATACTAGTTAAAAACAACTCTAAAAAATATTACACAAACATTGAAGTAAAATTTTTGAAAAGTTTCTGTAAAATTATCAATCATTGACAAATTTTTGGTAGGTCCGACCCGTTCCGTTGACGTCTATTTAAAAGAACGACAACTCTAAAAATTGCAAAATCGTAAAATTCTGGTTACTCCCCTTTGATGATGCAAAATATGACGTAATTTCAAGGCCATTCTTGTAGTATTTTTATCATAACATGAAAATAAAAATCGGCATCATTAAAAAGTTTAATTCTTCATCTTTAAGACAGAAACAAGTAAGAACACGGGGCGACTCGGGTTCAATGAAAGTTTGTTGCTTAAAGTTGTCCGAAGCAAGGTACATTGTATGTGTCCGATGCATGGTTAACTCACCCTAATCCGCTTCGCGGTTATAAAGCGTAAACTGACCCAAACCAGGTTATACTCGAATAATTTGGCCAAGAATTAGAGTCATTCCTAAATTAACTAAAATACATAGAGGATATTCAATGTTTTGTAGATGAATAATGGAATTTATTTCACGAGTGGGGCAGCATTTTTTTTTTATATTTTTACGAGTGCGAAGCACGAAAATATCAAAGAAATCCTGTCTCACGAGTGAAATAAATTCCATATTCATCTACAAAACATTGAATTTTCTGTTTATTACATTTTCTTTGATTTTCCCTTTGTCCCTGTCTTTTCTTAACACAGTGTCATAAGCTTGACGTCATAGTTGAGCGGTTGAGACGTCATAGCTTAGCAGTTGTGAGATTGAAAACATTACAAGTGTATAGCATGGATTTTAGCAAAATATTTGGGAAGAAATTTGCAGTGTTAGCTCTATCAAGATGGTTAGTTACTATCTCTATCTTATGACAGGCCAGAAATTATTTTTTTACTTACTTTGATATCCTTTCACACTTTCAGAGAATATCATTTTGGTATCCGTTCACACTGTGAGAGAATATCACTTTTATTCAATAAATAAATCACAGTATTTCACTATTGAAAATGTAATAAAAATCAATATGTTGATATATTGTAGAGGGCCCTGGTGACGGAGTTAGGGTTCATTAGATCTAATGTACACGGATGCGATACGCGTTTATAGTGGTTTTGTTTTATTCTCTTTAGAGAAGTGGACAGGCTTTCGCCTACATCCACTTCTCTTCGCAAGCCTTCATGTTTTGATTCTGGAAAACGTGTAAATCTCGAACCGGTGACGGTCTACACTTCAACTGACATTTCGTCTAAAATACGTTTGAATGTACGTAATAGACGTGTTATATTAACAATTTTAACAAAAATACACACAATTGTCACAAGAAAACTGACTTTTAAGTATTGTTAATCCATTTTCACAAGTTCTCCATCCCGGATTTAAACTAATGTTTATCTACCACAGCTTATTAGAAAAAATTGAAAGTTTTGTTTAAGCCCAACACCTTTTTTTTTTTTTTTAAAAAAAGTTATAAAAACAATGTTTAAGTTCATTACTAAGTGAAGCAAACGAGAAACAAAAATAATTCAGAGAGTAACGTGGCGTGTTTTTCCGCTCATGGTGACGGAGTTTGGGTAGTCAGGGATATATTTTACAGGATAACGATTTCTGCATTTTTTTTCTTCAAGGCACAACACTCTCGGAAACGTTTGACAAGAATAATGACGAAGAAGCACTGACTGGTGACCAGGACAGTCTTGACTTTGTAAGGTAAGATATTTGTGATATCAAACAATCTTTAATTTATAACTTACATGCAGTTCATAATAGGAATATAATGCTTATGTGAATATTAAGAGGCATCATTGAAAAAAGAACGTCATCCTTCATTATATGGTATACATTCAAAATAATTCAAAATATTGTTCCCGGAGGTGGTTTGGACCACAAGCAGGGGTCAAATACCTGTATTTACTTGAAAATAATATACTAGAATAACTTTTGTAACTTGTTTTTTTTCTAGTATAGCAATGTCATGAAAATCATAGTGATATTATACGCAAGTATCCCCAGGTAGTGGAGATTCAAGTTTATTCAAATCAAGGGAAAAATGTACAATTACAGTTACAATTACAAATAGGAGTTGATGTATCTGTTTTGAGAAAGTCCTGGTCTATTCGCATTTCTATGCCTTGACACGTGATGTCAAACGAACCAATGACAAAGTGCTTCAAAATAACCGTATAATGGCTAGTTTCATTTTTTAAATATTATTTAAATATATGTAAATACACTGTATATGTTTACTTTATAACCAAGTCTCTAGAATTATGTTAGCACTGTGAATCAAATATCGTACCGTAAACAGTTATTGATTAAGAAAATAAAGGCATCCACTAAAGGTATTTAACTGTTCTGACGTTTCTTTTTTAAATTCAAAAACTAATCGGTTATTCGATCAATTAACAAAAATCACGACAAATTTACTTTTAAAGATGGTAAGTATACATGTAGTTCGAGCATATTGACCAGAATATCCTCTGATCTTCAATGCATGTCTAAAATATAAAGTTATATATAAAAAAATTATCAGGGTTTAATACTTACAACTTGTAAACACCGATACAAGTATATTATTTAAGTTTTTTAAATTGCACAAGTTTATATGTTTTCTAAAAAATCTTTTTAAGTTGTGTATACGTTGCGTGTGGGGGCGTTTGTGTTATAGTATGTATATTATTATATATTGGAACATTCTAATTGTGTTCAATATCTATATATTCATTTTTATTCATATGCACGATCATACATTTTGTGTATCGAATTAATTAGTGATTCAAAAAAGTTGTGTGTGCGTGTATGCTTTTGTAATTTTAAATAAATGAATAGTGGTTGAGTTGCGAATTCGATCGCGTAAATACTACGAACACTAGTGCTTTGCGTAAAGTCTGCGACACAGTAAAATTTCAAGTGATGGAGAACCCTGAATTATATTTTTCCGTCTGTCCTTTCTTAATGACATCACATATGTTTACATTTGACGCCACAAATATCCGTTACTATATGAGTAGAAAATAATTATTGCTTTAACGGTTATTGACTGAATATCGGGAAATGCACCTATCCTCGGCGTTGCGCGGTTACGGACCTTCCGACCTCGTGCGGGCACTTTACCCGATATTCTGCTATAATAACATAATTTCACCTGTCGTCAAAATCACCTTACGTCTAACATTCTAATTTATGTCATCTTAACGAGAGATTTCTAATCAGAAAAAAATCAGGTTAATTTTTGAATCACCTATTTTGCAGGCATAGAGTGAAACGAAGTATCCTCGGGCCTGAATTTCATTATTTCCGGATCTATTATACAGCATTGGGACTTCTGAATGATTACAATAGATTGCTACATCGCGGAATAATACGTGACTGGAGACCATTGGGATCAAGTTCGTACCATGATGCCATTTTTGATTCAACACTGTATTATAGGTCGGAAGCAATGGCAGGTGAAAATTTTTACCTTTAATAGATTTTTTTTAAATGTTACAATAATATTTCTTTCGTAGAATAGCCTTTACTTTTAGATTCCCTTAGTATCTCTCATGTATTGTGATGAAGTTGATATATTTTTCTTATGTAATGTGTATTTTGTTTTTTAAAAACACACGATTTGGATAAAAAGTCTATTCTAATCGCAAACCACATTTTATTTTATTTTTATTATTTATTTTTCCGACTTGATATTATTATTATTCCTATTTTCCCGTGACTGTTACGTTGCAATAGAGAAATACCGACATCTTACGAACTAGCGTAACTGAAAAGGGGGATCGTTTGTTGTATTTACAGTTGCATTATTGAATTCCTCAATGTTATTGAGATTTCAAAAGATAATATCCCCACAAGATACCTCAAAACTACTAACGAGCGAAGGGTTTCCGGAAAGGGAAATGAAAAATGTCATTTTGAAGCATGTAGTCAATAATGATTATGTCTTAGAGAAAGGAGGGCGAGGGAGAGGTAAAAAAAAAATAAACACAAATAATGGACTTCCTGTTCATGCTACTGGCTTACCTTGTAGATATAATTATAAGATTACAGTTAAAGAGTTTAGTTTTTATTAATAAGACTTTTTAACTGATTTTTGTAACAACCACCTGGGCAATTTCGATCGATCACGAATACAATGTTTTGTTTATTATCTTTTATTGTGTAAGTACATCTATTTTCTGCAGAAAAAAAAATTCAGTCTAGTGAATTGTGTTGACAATAATTTTAGTTCTATGAGCGTAAGTTGCTTATTGGAATACGAAGATATCTAAGAATTAAGACGCTTAATCAACCGAAAAATTTCGAACGAGGATTTCTTTTCCGCGGATTCCTGATATGTCTACAATTTATTGACCCCGGGTTCAATTTTTCGCAGAATATGGTATTTTGAACAAGTATTTCTTAGCCACTACGAGGAATTATCACCTATGACAGTATCTGTATAAACAAGCATTCTGAGAGTATTGCATTAGCAATACTAGTCCCCTACCGGCAAGTGTAATCTGGTTCCCGTTAAAATTTGAAAATGCCATAATTCTGTCAAAAATCATTGAAACGGAACGAAATACAAACTTAGTCTATAACTTATCAAGGTAAAGTCACATACCAAACACCAGCTCAATATCTGCAAGCGTTTAGAAATAAATTGCGGAAAACCCTTAAAAATTGAAAAGGTTGTAATTCCGTCAAAAATCAATGAAGCGGAACGAAATGCAAACTTGATCTGTAACTCATCAAGATACACTCACATACCAAAAATCAGCTGAATATCTGCAAGCATTTAGGAAAAAAGTGCGGAAAACCAAGTGGGACAGACTGACAGACAGAGGGACAGACGGATGGACAGACTCAGAGGAAACCTATAGTCCCCTCCGGTTTCACCGGTAGGGGACTAATAAAAATTAATCAATAGCAGCTGCTATTCCTGCGTGACATTTACATGTATGAGATTCTTTTTGCAACTGAAACTCATGCACAATTTTAATTTTATTTATTTTATTATATTTAGTTTTTACACAAAATATAAACTATTTTGTTTATATCAGCTGAACAGAAATAGGCCTAAGTTACCCATGTGCACATGAATGCTGCGTCAGTGAGTAAATTCCAGGCACGAAGAACGGGGGGGGGGGCACTTTTTTCAAAACATTACTTTTTACTATTGAAATGTTCATTGAAAGGCTGGTTCGCCCCCACACCTTTTGTTTCATTAAAGTCAAATCAGAGTAATATGGTAATGTATGAAGAAAATTTTGTTCGGAAGAAAGTTGGAGACCCCCCCCCCCCCTTCACGAAAAAGGACATCGAGTTTAACCAATTTCCCCCTTTTTTCTCCTCGGGGTTTTTTCAGGTGAATTGTATTTTTTTCTCTCGCTGCCCCCCCCCCCCTCCCTCCCCTCTTTCAAAACGATAATAAGTTCCTGATTCAACTAATAAAAAAACTAATAAAAAAAACCGCAATAAATCTGCAGTACTACGACCTTTACCAGGAAGAATTCATGACTGTATTAAAAAATGAAAAAGAATCAGTAGAAACTAGTTCTACATCAGTGAAAACTTGTCTGTTCGGTTTATATGCCTGTGTGTGCATACACACTTGTAGCATGCCTAAAGACAAATCAGAGTCGTGCAATCGATGTCTTCAAATTACATTTTATTCACATTTTGAAAAGTACCGTCTCTTTTTGCCAGTATACTTGAATCAATCTTTTTTTTTTTTTTTTTTTTTTTTTTTTTTTTTTTTTTTTACAATAGTAAAATATGTTTTTGTTTTCCTTAGAGATGACAAATTATAAATTCGATTATAATTCCCATTGTATATTGTAGATCCTATCGAAATTACTCTGTGCGCGGTCGAAGTTAGCCTTTACAGAATCGAACGCATTTATTTCATATTCTGACGAATAATGCATATTTAAAAATGTAATCTGAAAAAAGGTAAACTAAAGAAAAAATTATCCAGTAAAGCTATAGCATAACAGACAATGACATACTGGAATATAACTTGAGTACAAAAAAAATACACAACCCTACCCATGAAAATGCATAACTTGCAGCTTTTTAATAATCCACATGTATTTATACAGATATAACGTGTACAGTGTATAATGAAAAGCAGCCGCCAGATAAATTAAGAGGCGATCGGCATTTAATACATCATCCAAGAAGATACTTGCTACCGTATGAATGCTCGTTTATGCCTTTGAAATGATATTTTATATTTTAAAAAAAACGGAGATAGGGGACCTACCCTTGAAGTTCCTTTTTACAATATGGAAAAATTTTGTTTCCCGACCTATTGCATATGCATGCATTGCCCCGTTCTACTTTTTTAAGGACTGTAGTATATGGAAATTAGTACTACTACATGTATTTAGTAAAATGAAATGAAAATGGACATTGAGCTTAGCCCCCCCCCCCCCCCCCCCCCGGCCCAACACACACATCTACGCGCCCATTTTAAAAAGATTACATTTTCCGAAGTAGTGCCACCCCTTTTTTGTTTTATAATGGTTGATTTCTGAAACTTTGAAAAAGAAGGCTAATTCATTGCATTTATTATTCATTGCTCTCTCTCTCTCTCTCTCTCTCTCTCTCTCTCTCTCAAACTAACAAACACATACATGTACTTGATAAACAAGACACTATATAAGCGCATCACCTAGGAACTTGTTGTCTTTGCACGGATGTATAGATGTGAGTCTAGATTTTTTCATGCTATAAAAGGTAACTTTCCCCCCAAATGAACACAGCGCACACTAGTACATGTGATATACGTATAATTACTGACGCATGACAAACGTATTTCCTAATCCGTCTCAGGTATTATGGCTTATATTTTCTTATATTTGTCCGCTTTTAATTATTATTGTAGAACTCTTGAAGTCATTACAGAAAATTAGATAGGGAATATTACATGTATCATTTACGAAGTGATTTAAAACACTATCCGTTCTATTATACACATATACTTATATTAATTGTTCCGATTTTAAATTAGGTGCAATAACTGGTCCCGGGAAAACTACCAAGATACGAGAAGTTAGGGCGAATTACGTTCGTTCGTAAGATGTCGGTATTTCTCTAAACCAGAAGTCTCTGATGAGACTGTAGCTCTACTGGTCTGTACATATACATGTAACAAAGAAAAAGTAGCACTTGGATTTGAAACTTTCCAACATGCAACAATAAATAGAATTATGTATCTTAATATAGTCTACTTGTGTGCCAAGTTAAATTGAAATCAGATCAAAACTGTAGGAGGAGTAGCGTTTTAAAAGAAATTCACAGAAATTTCTATTTTCAGTAACCATGGCAACACTGCTCATCGAAATTAAAAACCGATGCACTAAATTATGTATCTTAGTGTAGTCTACTTGTATGCCAAATCATATTGAAATCAGATCAAAATTATGGAAGGAGTAGCATTTTAAATGAATTTCACAGAAATTTCTATTTTTAGTAACCATGGCAACATCGTTCATGGAAGTCAAAAACTGATGCACTAAATTATGTATCTTATTGGAGTCTACTTATGTGCCAAGTTGTACTGAAATCAGACCAAAACTGTAGGAGGAGTAGCGTTTTAAAGGAATTTCACAGAAATTTCTATTTTTAGTAACCATGGCAACACTGCTCATCCAAATCAAAAACCGATGCACTAGATTATGTTTCTTAGTATAGTCTACTTGTGTGCCAAGTTATATTGAAATCAGACCAAAACTGTAGGAGGAGTAGCGTTTTAAAGGAATTTCACAGAAATTTCTATTTTTAGTAACCATGGCAACACCGTTCATCCAAATCAAAAACCGATGCACTAAATTATGTATCTTAGTGTAGTCTACTTGTGCGCCAAGTTATATTGAAATCAGACCAAAACTGTAGGAGGAGTAGCGTTTTAAAGGAATTTCACAGAAATTTCTATTCTTAATAACCATGGCAACACCGTTCATCCAAATCAAAAACCGATGCAGTAAATTATGTATCTTAGTGTAGTCTACTTGTGTGCCAAGTTATATTGAAATCAGACCAAAACTGTAGGAGGAGTAGCATTTTGAAAAATTGTTTACAGACAGACGGACTGACAGACAGACGGACGGACGCCGGACACCTTACTATCGCATAAGCTCTTCTGGTCTCTGACCAGTAGAGCTAAAAACGTACAGTGTGTAATAAATGAAAGGAAAAAAATATGTTGTAAAAGGAAGTCCTGGAAAAAATGTTATAACGATGATGCTATTGACTAAAATATGCTCATACATTTATAAATGTTGTTGAAATGATGTGTCATGGCACTGGAACAAAGGTTTGAAATGCACATTAACAATACACAGTATAACGAGTATTTTCTGTGGGTGAAAAATTTTGCGATTTAATCCCTTAAAGGTAGCAAATTAATTTCTGCCTTCTTAATTTTTGCGGAATGTAATACCAACGCAAAATGTAATAAACCGGAATTATTACATTTTGCGTCGAAATAAAAGCAAAATATAATAAGAAACTTTTAGGAATATTACATGTATATTTTGCGCTATTGCGTTTTGCGTTGATGTCAACGCAAAATGTAATAAGAGATTTTTTGGATAATTATATTTTTGTTATTATATTTTGCGTCGATATTAAGCAAAACGCAACAATGCAAAATTTAAAAACACACTTTTTGATCAGTTAGGTTGAGAAAAATTTTCACACCAATGATTATATATTGCTTTATTATTAGCCAATTCCTGATCTACGAAATAATGCAAGTTCCTTTTGAAGGGATCCAATATTATATGCCGATTTCCTGGCTTTCAGACGTGACAATGTTTATTAATTTTTATTTATTTATTTATTAAATGCAAAAGGACATGCCCATGTCTTGTGTTTATGTATATTTGAGTAACTAATATTTGAATCATATTATATCATTGATTATGTCGCCCGCGTTGCGCAGTGGTTAGAGCGTCTGCTTAAGAGTCGCGGAGTAAGGAGCTGATCGTTACGTCGCGGGTTCAAATCCACTGCTGGACGTGGAGACCGGTCTTTCGGATGAGACCGTATAACCGAGGTCCCGTGTCGCGGTAGGTGTTGGCACGAAAAATATCCCTCACTGTTCAATGGCGCTGAGTGCCGAGTATAGGTATAAATTTGCAGCCCTCCACCGGCAAGTGGTGTCGTCTCCATATGAGTGAAAAATCCTCGAGAGGGACGTTAAACAAGAAAGAAACAAACAAAAAATCATTGATTAAATTCCATTGATTTTGAATCATCTTTGCGTTCAGTACAACTCGTATTCAGTGGATTTACAATTTTTATGATAGGAGCGTGCAATGCAAAAACTTACTAGGAAACAAAAACTCAAAATTCTATGAGACAAAGCTTTATCTATGTATAAACGAAGGAAAAGTATATAAAGGACCTTAAAAGCATGTCATATTCCTAACCGACTTATCCACTTCGGCATAATAACTATTCATATTTTATACAATGTATTGTTAAAGATATGTTTAAATCAATTTTATGATGTTTGCGTTGAATACAAAAAAATATTATGTTTTGTGTTGTTACATTTTTATTTTATGACATTTTGCGTTGCCCTCAACGCAAAAATTAATTAACGTAAAATGTAATAACCAAAAAGTACATTATTACATTCTGCGTTAATCTCGACACAAAATGTAATAACGGAAAATGTAATAATCCTTAAAAGTATGTTATTACATTTTACATTATTACATTCTGCGTTGACTTCGACGCAAAATGTAATAACGAAAATGTAATTATCCCAGTTTATTACATTTTGCGCTGTTATTACATTTTGCGTTTTTAAAAAGCTATTCTTCAAAATATAAATACACCTTTATCAGCTATACCCCGGTAAATAATAGGTAATTTTTTTTTCTTATGAATATTTTGTGAAAGCAATATCTGCAAATTTGTCCCATCCGCAAAATTCCCCATCAAAATTTGACAACCGCAGAAAATACCCATTATACGGGTATATTTACATTATATATATCATATGACATATTAATCACATCAAAGAGAAAGATAAATTTGTTCTGGCTTTTGTGTGAAATACCAGCGAAATAATTGCTCCTACGGTTTAAATCGTAAGACTTGTCTAATAGTAAGTCAACAAAATGGCATAGGCCTATGCGATTAAAGATATAAAAAAAAAAATAGAACTTGAACTGGTATTCTTTCAAAATTTATATTTAGCCATATGGACAACTTGAATCCAAACTCCCACAAACCCATCATAATCAATAGTTATGAAAGATCATTAAATTGATCTTTACTCACGTATTTTAAATGCATAAGTTGAATAATATGCTTTTACACCTAAGTTTGAAAGGTTGTTGTTACTGTTTTCTTACTTTTATAACTAGAAAGTTAGAAGTCATGACATGTTCTTCACAATCAATTAGTGATTTATTTTGGCACTGTTCACTGAACATTTTGAACATTGAAATTTTAGTATTGAAGCACTAATAAAATGCATTCATATACATGTATGTACATAAAAATTTAATCATTTTGTCTTGTAGGTCGAAATGTCGATTTACAAGTGGTCAATATTGTTTGCATCATAATATATCGGCGTCAAGATGCTATAGATCACGGTGGTGGCGATTGGAGACATAACCTAACCACTTCCTATTGGAAAAGTGGATTGGAACAGATTCAAGATGGTCAAAGTCGATATCGAGAAGAAGATTTGAGCTCAAAAGGCTCAAAAAGAGAACAAGTTTTGAGCCAGGGTGGGTTTGAGCTCAAACAGAGAAGCATCAAATTGCGAGGGCCGAGGAGACGACACAATAGGGGCAGATTGCGAAGGTCGGGGAGACGACACAATAGGGGAAGAGCAAGACGAATCCTCCAAATTTTATCAATTTGTCGAGAATTCGCATAAAACTGTAACAAGAACACCTTCTGAATTTCATAAATAAAATTAGTTCTTCATAGGCATTTCTTTTTATACTTAAGTTGACTACGGAATATTCCGTCTATCTGATGAAGCATTAGGGCTCAAGGCGAGTGTGACCGGTCGACAGGGGATGCTTACTCCTTCTAGACACCTACAGGCATGCTTATGAAAATTTCCTAAGATGTGTCTTAGGATATTACTTAGGACATATCTTAGGACTATCCTAAGATAAGTCTTAGGTTGTAAAAGGAAAGTATCTTATGAATATCTTAAGATAAGTTGTCGTAAATTTCATTCCAAGCCGTTCTCTCTTTTTTTCAATTTTAATTTTTTATAACAAATATTACATGTTGTTCTATGTCCATATGCATCATATGCATGCACTTATGTAAGGTGTGGATGGGGGAGTCATTGGGCTCAGTGCCCTGGGATTTTTTTGGAGTTGTTAAAAGTATAAAGTATATAGTAAACTAACCCCCTACAAAACATGGACTCCTGGCAAAAATGGCAATTTAAGGAAAGTCATATACAAGAGCATATTCTGTATATTTGTAAAGACAAGCGACTAAACCTCCATCTACGCACACAACCTCCCCCCACACACAAGAAAAGGTCAATCAGGTTTGGAGAAGTTGGTGTTTTTTTTCCCTTTATTGTCAAAAAATATTTGAGTCTGAATGTTTTGAGGGGGGGGGGCAACACCCCCCCCGGAAGAAATGCATGGATCCGCATATGATATGTATTGGTAAGTTTCACACATTTAATCTGTAATTGCGCTATTCAATCGGTTTCCGCTACATATATATAACAGAGATACTTGTCTACAATCTAGCTTGCAAGAAATAAACAAATAAAAAAGCAAAAATTTATACGTTGGTTTATTCACAGAAATTTGTATTACTGGATAAGTAATTTAGAAAAAAAAATTGAAGGGAGAATACCAATATGCAACACCACTACGAATTCCCTTAATATTAAACTAAAACATTATATTTATCATACACATATAGAGACCAATGAAAATTAATACTTGTATGTATTTTTAAACCATAATTTCTTGTTGTTTGTCCCCATATGATCAACAGGAATCTCTCTGGAAAAAGGAGGGGTGGTGCCTGCATTCATTATTTTTCAATATTTTCTATGGTGTGTTTTCTATATCATTAACACCGGCTAGGTCTACAACACATGTACCAGGCTGGTGCAATACACACGTATTAAATCCTAAACTTGTGCTTAAATAATTTCAATAAAGATATAACTACTAACATAGTGATAATTTTTCTACTGTCTAAACCAAAACAAACAAACAAAACAAAAAACAAAAAACAAAAAAAACATCAAAGGAAATGCCAGATTGTTCAGTGAATAGGTCAGTGAATTGAGAGAGAGAGACTCCTATTAGGATGGGACTGCATCCTCCTATACCCCATCCCAACAAAAAAAGAGAACAAATTAATAACTGGTATATGTTTACATACATTTCAAAAGAGTTTAAATAAAACTACTTCAGAACTTTTTAACCTGCTACATGATTATTACATCAATTAATGAATGGATTTTCAGACATAATTTTCAAGGAACTTCTTTGCTTGTTATTTGTTTTGGTAGTATCTTCATTTATTACTTTAGCTATTTCCCTTTATTCAGGTACATGCTTACATATACAGATTTACAGTGAAGATATACGGTGACACGGCATATTGTTTAGTAAATTGATTTTAATTAACTCATATATTGGATTAATTACATAAACAATGTGCTTGTAATAATTCCTAGTTGGTTTCCTGGTAGCAGCGCTTCTTAAATCACCTTAGATATGTCTTACGCCCTGTTCACATGGAGAGTTTAATTCGAATTAAACGTAAGTCACTGCGAATTAAATTTGATCCGCGTTCACACGGAGAATTTAATGCGAATTAGTTTAATTCGAATTAGTTTACTGCGCATTAAATTACTTCGCATTCGCTCCGTGTGAACGCTAAGCGAAGCTAATTCGAATTAAATTTTGACGCCTGCGTAAGGGCAGAATTAAGTCACATGCCACATGTCGGTGGTCAAATATAGGTATTTGTGCTATTTTTGAGTGGAAAACAAAGGAGAACTATGTTAATCACTAAAAACTGTACAGACACTATGAAATTATATCAAATGTATATCTGCTCTGCACAGTGTGACGTGATTTGCAAATGACGTCATAATAGCCTTACTGAATAGACGTACAACACACTGGGGGAGATAACTCTTGCAATTTCAATTAAACGTTTAACTTGACGTCAAATTTGACGTTTATAATAAAGCGTCAAAATGACGACCGAATCGATCCCGACGTAATTAAAAGAAAATGGGATTAGAAACTTGATGTGGTTTCTTTAGAAATACCAAATCTATCCTTGATTATTTGCGCTTTTGATTTAAAACCCGCCCCTTCCTCCATAAAAAGGGAAGAAAAGAAAGATTATGTCTTAAAATTTCTTTAATTTTATATGAAACTCGTGTCCGTGATCAATATTAGCAGAACAATATTCTTTAATTTTTTTTTTATGATACATTGCTTTCTTTTGTTACAGTTGGCTATGTAACACTCGCATTACCAGATCACGGGCCTATCTTACAATTAAGAATTAGCCATATAAATTTATACTGTGTTGTTCTCCTTTTAAGAAAAAAAAAATGTTTTACAACCCGTTTCCAAAAGTTCACTGTTCAAAGAGGAACAACTCTAAAAATGTGGGAGATTTTCCCCTCCCCTTCTTGAGTTATTTCCTCCTATTTGCCGAACAGTTAAGACACATTTTCAGTGTATTCTGAGGAAGTCAGGAACTGAAAACTATAATATATACTAAGTAAGTACCGAAAAAGTAATAGAATTGTTTACTGAAATGGTCCGAATTCATGAATAACTTATATGCGGCAAAATGGCCATATCCGACCATCTAGAACTACGATCTAACACTGTCAACAATTTCAGTGCGCATTTCCTCGAATCAAAACAAAACGTTTGATACATGTATCACTGTACATGAATATTTTGACACATGAATAATTTAAACATAGATGGAGAATTTACAGTTTGATAAATTGAAGTTAATGTAGACGAATACGATATTTCCATTTTATCTAGATAGAACAAAAGAAGGATGCATACAAGTGTGTGTGTGTGCGGGGGGGGGGGGGGGTACTTTTAGACCCCTCTCTTGTTTGAAATAAATTGGAAACAATATATTCCATTTACCAGTCTGTTTACATCATAAAAGAGTTGAATCTTCAACATTGTGCGTTCACTTTTAATGAAGAATGAGATTAAAATTCAATGTATTCAATGTAAGTTAATTCATACGCAGGTATAAAATTAAATGCATTTCAGCCATGTGCATGTATGGACTGCATATTGGACACGTGGAATTAAAATCCTTAGAGAATATGTTTTACTTTTATTCTAGTAGTTGATAGTTAAACTCTTATTCTAGTTGTCAGAATTTTAATCTGCATGAATGAATGAATTAATTGGTACTTCAGGTATTTAAAAGATTAAATATATATCTCGAGGGTAACCTGTGTTTCTTCAAGTTCTAACGACTGCGTCCAAAAAAAAAGGGGGGGGGGCTTCGTCAAATATTGCCTATAGATACATCTGCATTTCAATGAACTGATTTAAGATTTAAGAACTCTGATATATAATATAAATAAATTTTTTAAAGCAAAAAATATTTTCTAGCTTGGAATTTTTCATGTGTATTTGTAGATCTAACAATGTTTTCGTCCCACGTCTGACAGACGCTTGAGAAACGTGACTTAAGGAGAAAGGGGGGGGGTAATTTTTTCCCTATAAATTCAAAACGGCTCGTTTAAAAAAATTGCAAAAAATTATCAAGATTACTTTTGTAACCAGTTACATGAAAACAAATTTTTTTCCAAAATTAAACGATAGGTTTTTTTCATTAAAAAAATACTTAAATAAAAAAATACGCATTTTTAAGGCTTAAATGAACCATAGTTTTTCAGTTTAAGTTCTTCAAAAAATAATTTGCCAATGTGTACCTCTACAAAAATACTTTATTTGTGTGGTTAATGTTCATTTGAATGAGTCGATGAAATTTGACAGCCAGACTAGCTGAACTTTTTTGATAATCAAGGATTTTATAGCTAGCCGATTGAAAATTTCTTCTCCGCTTGAACAACCAAAGGGGGGTAACTTTTGGAACTTCCTGTCCAAATACGACTCGAACGATTTTGTCCAAAATGTACATACGCATTGTATATATAGTCATGTATAATATATACAAAAATAGCGAAAATTAAACGACAGGAAATTTTTGGTGGTGGGTGTGTTGTACGTCCTTAAATTCGCATTAGCTGTCGTGTGAACGCAATTTAATTCGCATTAGTTTAATTCATTTTACTTCGCATTAATTTACTGCGAATTAAACGCTCCGTGTGAACAGGGCATAGTGACACCCTCGTCTTAAAGTTAGGACTAAGATTAGGAAGTCTCCTAAGATAGAACAGCTTCGCTGGCCCCATTTAAGACTAAGATATGTCGGAAGTTCGTCTTAAGAGATGTCTTAGTCCTAAGCTTCATAAGCATGCCTGCAGTATTATAAATACATGATAAATTGACGGTGTCTGCAAATGAAACTCATTCAGGTTTTATAAAAAAAAAAAAAAAGGAAAGAAAACACCAACATGCAATTTCATTTATTATTAGATCAAATAAGGTGTGAGAAACAACAACTATATAGTGCTAAAACTATTACATTCTAATACAATTACTATGCACATAGCATTCAATGTTAAAAATGAATTTTCGATTAACGTGGCATTGAACATGACATGTCTGAAAGTATACATGTATATGAATGTTTTATGCATGCACTTTAAGTATTACTCAATTGCAACTGAACTATATGATAAAATTGAAGTAGTCCGATCCTCGGGATCTGAAAATCCACAGTTAAGGTAAAACCAGCGATATAAGCATTCAGTCACTAAAGAATTTTGTACACCTAATATCTTTAAGTCTGAGTCTGGACACTT